AGTTGGTTTTCCTAGGACTGTCCACTCGAATAAATAGCGTTTCAATGCTTATTTCCTCGTGGATTTCAAGGCTGTTTAACTGAACCAAACACAAGTTTTAAAGAGCTAGTGAGATTATATACACTGCCGATTCCACAGATTACGTAATACGATGTGGTAAACCGCAAATTACGCATCCTTACATCCACCCAGAAAGGCACCACACATCTGGATGTGACTTTCTCAAGTACACTTAAGTACATGTAAACATGGAGCACTAAAATGGTATGGTTGACGTCTTCTTCGGTTTGCAAATGCTGAGCAGGCAATGTACTAAATTAAAAGAAAACTTCCGCTAAAAGGCTTTAGTTACTTTAGCACACTGCAAAAAGAGGGGAGTAGCCTATCCAAAAATGCAAGCTGAGTCCGTGGCTATACAAATTGAAGGTGCCAAAATACGAATAGATTATTTTCATCATCAGTATCCTCTTCCAAGTTTAAATTTGACCTACTAATGGAACTGGTTACTCTTTTAGATACTTTTAAAAGACTTAGCTATTGAAGTCAACTGGATGTTGAGGCAATTGGGTTCACCTCAGGTAAGGCGTGCTGTGGCATGGCATGAGAAAAAGGATTTTGGGTCTTGGAGACATGTCGGCCCAGTTGGCAGCAGCGGCCTGACTGGCCAGCTTCGACATGAGCGCGTCTGGTCCCCCTTGGTGGACGAGGCAAGTGTAGCCGGCCACAGCGAGATTGACCGCAACTAGAAGGCCAATAAGTAGCCTTAGAGGGGAGCAGAAGGACTGGGTCCACCGAGACTTGGTCACAATGCGATGGAGATGGAACAACCCTCGACCAGCACAGTAAATGAATAGAGGAAACAGTGGGAAGAGGAATCGGAATTCCTTATGTGCTAGGCAGCTAAAATGAATGCCGTAAATCCACTGAACAATGGATTGGTTATACTTGTGCTCTTATAGTGCGATTTTTACAGTCAATGCCAATTCCCTTTCGGATCCTCAAGTCAAAATTCTCAATGAAGACTTGTTATTTTAGGACTGATTTCAAAGTAATTTACCTGACACCATTGTGAATGATAAAGAAGGAATTGAAGAAATAACACGAAATTCATTAGGCAGCTTCATAAAATGATTGATGCTTTTTGGTGTTGGATTACTTGAAGCAAATCAGAATGGATGCGTCCTGGATAGGAACACTCTCAGTGTGCCATGATTTGTTAGAGCCCGTTAGACCCTTTAAATGACACTATTTATGTAAGGCTAACTTTTCCAACCTTAGCCTTCCGACGTAAGTAGTACTGCTGTTAACACTTCCATTTCATATGAAATCAATGTAAAAACCAAATGATCGTACCTGTAAGCGAATGTAGTCCATGCAATCCAGACACCGAAGTATTTTGCAACGATTTTTTCCTTTGTTCTAGGACGGCCCTTCAGCAGAATGCACGGCTGCATGAACCAACGGTGACCACTCATGGCATCAAACAGCCAACCGACAAGTGCCAGGGGTAAGTGAAGAGTAAGGATAGAGGGGAGACCGCTTGTGAGATACCAGTACCAAGGCTGCACCCCGTAGAAGCTAGCCCCATTTGAGCAGAAATTAAAGAGTAAAAAGTTGACTTGATTAACTGTCCAACGGCCATAAACGAGTCGGTCAACACCAAGAGATACAGCTGCACCAGAGAGACCAATCATCAGAGCAAGACGGAGAGTATGCCAGAAGTCTCTAAACGAAT